TCCCCCCCCCCACTCTCCCCCCCCTTCTCCTGCTTGCTCACAACCCCTCCACCTCACACACTCTCGGCTGCCTCCACACCCTTTTCTCAGCAACCCTGGGCTGGGACTCGGAGTGCATCACTTCCACCACCTGTTGGTGCTGGACAGCCAGGAGCCTGGGAGGGGAAGGTTAAAGGGGTGTGTGTGGGTGGGCAGGGGACACAGTGGGGCCTGCAAGACACTCCAGGCCCTGGCGGTTGCCCCCCCCCCCCGCGCTCAGGGCGTGCTGGTCCTGGCCCTCTGCAGAACCCCTGCAGCCATGATGGCTACCGATAGGATGAAACAGAGAGTGAGTGAAGAAAAGTCCAAACATTTTTAAAATGCAGGGACTGTGCAGCTCCATCCTGTGCCCTGCTGAAGTAGCTGAGAGTTACTCTTAAGTTAATGTTCATAGGATTGCTGCATCACAGTTTGTCGTAAGTATCAGCAGCGGGGTGGGGGTGGGGATTTGGTCTGACTCCAGTAAGTGAAAAGGCGACGTGGGTTGAGCTTTCAGATGAAACCTGTAACAATTGTCTTAGTTTTGTAGAAACAGCAAAAACAAGAGAACAAAAGTTTCAAGAAATTGCTCACCATACTTCAGATTTCTGCAGCACTTTGGAGCATTTAAAACCTCAACAGTCCTTCCCACTAAACCATGTTAACTCCTCCTGTTCACCAACATTAGTCATATTATACCCCCAAAGCGGAGACCCCAAAGCAGCCGGAATGGGAAGCATTCTTCTCTTGGGGGGAGGAGGCCCCTGTTCAGCCGCCCCATCTGAGACAGCAGCCTGGTGAGCGGCCCTCAGGTCCTCCTGCTGCTGCTGCTGCTCTCCTAGCACAGAAACCAAGCCCCGCTGTTGCCGATCTAGATACTGTCTGAGGTCAAACTGGCAGGTGGCCAGCCCTCCCTATTGAGGAAGGGATGCTCCAAAAGAAGAGACAAACGTGAGCATGGAGCTGCCTTGTACTGGGTCAGGTTCAGGGGGGCAGCCATGTTGATCTGAAGCAGCAGAGCAGAGTCAGAGTCCAGTTGGGCACCTTTAAGACCACCAACGTTCCATTCACGGTATAAGCACACTGCCTCAGAGCCATCCGTCCATCAAGGTCAGAATTATCTACTCAGACTGGCAGCAGCTCTCCAGGGTCTCAGGCTGAGGTCTTTCCCAACACTGAACTCCCTGGTCCTTTTAGCTGAAGAGGATGAGGGACTGAACCCGGGACCTCCTGAATCCCAAGCAGATGCTCTGCCACTGAGCCACAGCCTTTCCTCTTAAGAAAGGGAGGTCTCTTTGGAGAGGGCTGAGAGAAAGGCTGGGAAGCCAAGCAGCCGCTCCTCACAGCTGAGGCTGCCCGCTTTGTTTGGGCCGAGGATCCTCTGCCTGTAGCCCCTACAGACCAGAAGTCCCCTGTCATAGAGATGCGGCAACGCAAAGAGCCTTCGATTGCAGAATTTTTGGGCAGCTGCTAAAGACCCTGCAGCCCAGCAATCACCGTAAGAGCCAAGCCGATGTCTCTCCAAATCTCCCAAGTCTGGAGACAGACAATAGTTTTCAATGGAGATGGACCTTGTTTGGACACTACTTCTCCTGGCACACAGGCAGGTTTCTTTGGTCTCACTTCAGCTCCTGGTAAAACAGGGTTTGCAACAGTACAACCCTTATGGATCCTGTTGACGTGAGGCAGGAATGGGTGAGCATACACCACTACCCCACAAGCAGCCGTGGCCATTCATCTGGAATCCAAAGCCGTCTGAAAGAGGTGAGTGCCCTGGGGCTTGCTAGGGTCTCCTGTGATTCCAGAGACCTATTTAGTCGGGCCTTGACCCGGGTGGCCCAGGCCAAGCCAACCTTGTCCGTCCTTGGAGGCTAAGCAGGGTCGGCCCTGGTGAGTACTGGGAACAGAGACCACCAAGGAAGGCCAGGATCGGCAGACCACCTCTGAACATCTCTTGCCTTGAAGACCCTGCAGAGTTGCCCTAAGTTGGCTGCAACTTGACGGCACTTCACATTCACACACTTTTGTCAGAGGTGAGAGTGGACAAAAAGACAGTGGCAGCAATTCCTCCACCTTACCTCTTCCTACAGATAGCAGCCTATAGACCTGCTCTAGATCTTTTACCTGTGTGACCATCACAGGAAAAGGGCGAACAGCGGAGCCTCGGAGAGGAGGCCTCTCATACCTGCCTTGGCGTGGTCACTCACCAGCTGGGCAGCCTCGCCCCTTCTCCCACTCCGGCTGAGGCACGGCTCCCAGCCCATCTCGAGAGGAGCAGTGAAGTCCTGCCGAGGAAAGCTGGGGCTTGTTTTGAAGGGGCCTCTCCTCTTCAGAAGAGGAAGCTGAAAATGGGGAAGATAAGGCTGAGGTTAGATGACAGGAAATATCTGGATGCGAAGTGACAACATGTCAGGGTTGAGAAATGTGGCAGCCAGCACACTCTCCGGCCTCTGCTGTGTGGAAAGCGCCACGATGGCCAATGTTGGCTTTATTTGAAAGTCCTGGCCGCTCCCCTCCTTTGATTCCACTGGGGACTGCAAAGGGGCAACCTTTGTGCTCGTCTTGTGTGCAGCAGGAGTGCCCCCCCCCCCCCCCCCCCCAGAGAAGAAGGGCGGCAGAAGGGGGGGGAGGCAGTTGCTCTTCGCTTCCACTTTTGTTTCAAGCTTCTTATAAAAGAGGAATGGAAAAACCTGTGCGTCTTTAAAAATAAACGGGAGAGGAGCAAGGGACTGCCTATAAAGTTTGTCACATGCTTCCCCACAATCTTTGAAACCCCCCTCCCCCCAACGCATGAGGCTTTCCATTGCTTCCTGAATGGTACGCAGATGGAGAGTGATTTCAGCAAAGCGTACTTTATTTGATCAGGAACAAGACGGCTTTGGCTGGCTCACAGGCTGGCTTATATTTCCCGAGAAACTGCCACCCAACCCCCCCCCCACTTCCCAATAGGTTATTGACAGTGGCCGAGAGTCCCATTGGCTTCTCAGCCAGGAACCTAGCCCCCTGATTGGAGCGGGCTAGGATCCGCATAGTCCATTGTCTCTTGGAGCGAAGCTCGACGGTTGTCTCTGGACTTGTCTGAACTTGTCTGAACTTGATAAACTACACTTCCTCTGCCTCTTCCAGAGCAGTAGCTCTCAGTCTTTAGAAACGGGGGGTGGTGGTGATGGTTTGCAATTCTTCACAGATCTCTAATCCTCCCCCAACTCCCCTGAGCCATGGCACGCCACATATGGAGCTCTCCATTCTCATGCATCCTTAAAGCAATACAAAACAATATGAGGGGTGTGAAAAAAATGGGTTTTTTTTGGGGGGGGGGGTTATTGGATCCAGAAAATATCAGTATTTCCCGATATTCCAAAATCCCAGTGCTGGTATGGAATCCTGAACTTTTTCAGGTCCTACAGGGGCCGTTATACTCAATGGGGAATCTATCTGGAGTTATCCAAGGGTCTGGGTGGGCTGTTTTTTTTTCTGAGGCAGAGGCACTAAATTTGCAGCATAGCTGCTGGTGCTCTCCTCAGAAGAACCCCCAAGTTTCAAAAATATTGGACTGGGGGTCCAATCCTATGGCCTTCAAAGAAGGTGCCCCCATCCTCTATGGTTTCTAAAGGAGGGGGGGGGAAACAGCAAAAAAAGCAAAAACAATAGAAGCCCAGCAGATCAGAATCAAAATCCCTGAGACTCTCTGCAGTAGAAACTAAAGGTGGGGGAGGCATTTTTGCAAGCCTAGCAGAGTCAGTGCAATGAGCCCAGCAGAACCATTGCCACTGTAGCACTGCAAACCCACCAGGACTAAGGTCAAATCTCTGCAGTAGAAACTGAAGGTGAGAGGGGGCATTTTTGCAAGCTCAGCAGTACCATTCCAATCACAGAGTGCCCAGAAGTACCAGTTCAATCACAGAGTGCCCAGAAGTACCAGTGCAATCAAAGAGTGCCCAGGAAAACCCATTGCCACTGGGCAATGCCACCGCAACAAGACTGATGTGAAGCACAGAATTACACTCCAAGTGGGGGGAGGGCTGCAAGCCCAGCAGAACCAATGCAATATAAGGATGGGGGGGAGAGAGAGATTTTGCAAGCCCACCACAACCAGTTACAATGTGCAGACTGCCCAGCTGAACCCAGTGCCACTGGCATTGCAAGCTTAAAGGGACTGATCTCAAAGCACAGAGTCACAACAGATCCAAACAACAGGGGGAGGATTTTGCAAGCTCTGTGCAAGAAAATTGGAAGGGTACACAAAAACCTATTATGAATTAGTGTTTTCCCTTGCTTTCATTGTGCATGTCTGTCAGGTTTTCTTTTTCATTCTGCATTAATTTCCTCCCTTTCAGTGCTCAGTTTGCTTTCCTGCCGCTGTTTCCTTGGGTTTTCTAAGAGTGGCTTTGTGCCGATTTTCCCCTTGTTTCACTCCCAAGTCGAAGGTAATTTAAAAGCATACAGATTCCCTTGGATTCCCCCCCCCTGCCCTTTGCTACCCCTAAAGGGCCCTTATTGTTTTACATTTAATTTCTTTTTACAAGCGGCCTAAGTCTAGCGATGATATGGGACCATTGCTAATTTCATGCCACTTGTAAAGGAATTACTCCTGGCAGGGCCACCCTCTCCCACCACCCAGTTTCAACTGGGCATCAGGAGAAGGCAGCGGGCCTACTCCAGTCACAGCAATCCCAGTGGGGCCGCCCTCTCTGGCTGCCCGGTTACAACTGAGCTGTCATAGGCAGGGACTAAGCAGGCTCTCCATAGGCTGCCACCACTCTGGTATGGTCTCCTTGGGAGGGCCCAGAGCACCCACCCAAATTGCTTCATTTCCTTTCCAGCAGGTTTCACCCTCTGAGTGACCAAATGCGGTTTGAGGACCCAGGCAGAGTGACAAATAACTTCACTAAAGAGGCCTAATAACAACTGTAATTCAAGCAATGTGTAAGATACTGTGTTTGTAGGTGAGCAAACAAAATAAAACACCCTATCTAGACTGTCCCTAGCCATCTCTTGATGTTGGCTCCAAGCTGAGTCACTCCTTCCTGGATAAGGGATTCCTCCATCTGCAGCAGCCTTTGCTCATCTCTGCTCCCTAGGAGTGAACCACCTCCCTTTTTGGGCAAGGCCTTTTATTCCTTCTTCCCAGACACCACCCCCTTCACCCTTGATTGGCCCTAGTTTTCCTTCCAAAATTCCTTTTACCAGTCACAAGGCCCAGAGGGTGCTTGGAAAATGTAGGCCTGGTAGTTACTTTGATATATGCCTCCCTAGGGCCTGTTGGCCACACTGCTACAGGCCTAGGATCATGATAGGAGTGGTGGGAGAAGGCAGTGGGATTGCCTTCTCCCACTGCCCAGTTTCAGCTGGGCAGCAGGAAGAGGCAGCCCTGAGCTGCGCCTGCTGGGAGCCATCACCTCCCTGCACACACAGCGAGCCCGCCTGGGCTGCCTTCTCATGCCACCTGGTTCAAACTGGATGGCAGAAGGAGGCAGCAGAGAGCCCAGGGTATTTATTCTGGGCTGCAGAATAAATACACCAGTGAAAAGGAATGGTGCATACTGCAGACACAGAATCCGAAGTCATGCTTAAAGGCTTGACTGCTCAGATTCTCTGCAGTAAGCTGTGCTTGGGTAATGGGCTAACTAAAGGAAGGCCAGCAAAGGGGGGGGGGACTCTCTTGAAACTGACAAGACTAGTTTGAAACTGACAAGAGAAGTGGGGAAGCCCATAGAAGCCCCCAGACACAGAGAAAAAAACAAGAAAAAAATGCAGTGCTGGCTCTCGGTCTTCCCAGAAAATTCTGAATATATCTGGAATTTGGGGGGGGGGGATTTTACCCCCTGGCTTTCCAAAAAAATCCCAGATATCTTTGGGATGCCAAAATATACCCAAAAAATATCGACAAGGTATTTTTCGGATATATTTTTTGATCGGTTGTATCTGAATGCACACCCCTAAACAATGCCACTTCAACAACACTTTAAAAGCAAGTTTAAGTCACCCATTTGCATTGTCTGGACATAGGGTCACCAACCTCCAGGTGGGGCCTGGAGATCTCCCAGAATGACAACTGATCTCCAGACTACAGAGATCAGCCCCCCTGGAGAAAATGGCTGCTTTGGAGGGTGAACACTATGATATTACACCCTGCTGAGGCCCCTCCCCAAGCTTCATTCACAAACTGGGAAGAAAATAATGCCACACTTGTAAGTTGGAAGAAAAAAGGGAACATGATCTACACTTCCTTCTGTCAGAGCCCCTGGAGAAATCAGTCCCCAATAACAGTCATTCAGAAGAATTAAAGTTTATTGAGACATTGATAGGATCTGGACCCTTAATGATTCCATGTTAGAACTGGGGCAAAGCACACGAAGCAAGCAATTATACTACAATCAAACAGGACATTAATGGCACCTGGCCAATGGCACCTAAGCTACAAAGCCCACCTAACTAACAGCATAAAATTCTCAGGGGAGAGAGGATACCAGATAATTCTGGGCTCGCTTCAGAAGTAAGAAAGTGCAAGGAAGCAAGGGAGGTGAGAAGTACCGTCTGCCTGCAATAGCCGAGACCACAAGAACCAATGGAGTCCACCAGGGCTCTTTTTGTAGCAGGTACTCATTTGCATATTAAGCGACAAACCCTTAATGTAGCCAATCCTCCAAGAGCTTACAGTAGCCCCTGTAAGAAGAGCTCTGTAAGCTCTTGGAGGATTGGCTACATTAGGGGTGTGTGGCCTAATATGCAAAGGAGTTCCTGCTACAAAAAGAGCCCTGACAGAAAAGACCCATCAAAATACAAACCAAAGCTAAGTATCTACTTAACTTGTTGTCCATTTCAAATGCATAAAAAATAAAGGAGAGTAGAGAGGATAGAATCTCTATAGAAAGAATGATAAGCGCAAGAATGCAAAGAGGCAAAGAAATCTAAAAACAGCTACGAAAAGAAAGCATAGAGAGATTTATGATAAAAATAAAAGTGCAAATTAAACATACTGGGGAAATAAATAGAGGTAAATGCTGCATAATTTTGTTTTTTTCTTTTCTATACCTTGCAACCGGCGAAGCTGGCTCTTTAAGGATCGAAGGTGACGAGGCAAGTTTTTCCGAGTGAAAGAGAGGCAGCACGCCAGCGCGGAGAAAAAGAGGAGTGGCAAATGCGGAAGTATGGAAAGCTGACAAGGATGCAGAGTGACGTAGTAAAGAGGAGACGAGCAGAGACAGAGCAGAAGCAAGAGGGAGAGGACGAAGAGTGACGCATTGAGGGGGCGACAAGTCAACTACAGGAGAAAAAACCCTTAAAGGGACAGAAAACAAGGCTTGAAAGGGAAGAAGAGTGAAAGAGACTTAATAGTTGC